GCGCAAGTGTAGTATAAGAAGAGCATATCCTCCAAGTCTTCACTAGAGGCCTCACTTAAACCAGGGAGGAGCGCCTGAGAGTAAGGAAGTATTCTAGGAGGGGAAAAAGGTGACCATCATCGACTGAGCTCATCCAGAATTCATTCTTGCAGCAAGAGGGAATAGGGATAGAGAACTGGAAGTTTCCAACTCCATAATGCCACAATATGAAGAAATAGCGAAAATCTCTATCATGAAGAGAAGATAAAGAAAATACTCCAGAAGCTCCAACAGGGGTTACCCACAAAAACTATTTCTCAGATAAAGAATTCAGAGATGAAATATTGAGGATGTTCAACAAACTCAAAATAATGGTGGAACAGACATCCAGTAAATTAATGGTGGACATAAAACAAACAGTGGAACGGTCCACCAAGAAAATACAGGAAGAAATGAAAGCAGAAATTCCAAAGCTTCAAACAGAAGTGACAGGAATAAAGGAATCAGTAGATGAAATAAAAAACTCAGTGGGTGCCCTCAACAGTAGAATGGCTACAACCGAAGACAGAATCAGTGAACTTGAAGATGAGCTGCAGAAAGCTTACAGGCAACAACAAACAATGGCAAAAGACATTAAATTAGCTCTGTGGTGAATCAGAGTCCTAGGGGAAGACCTCAAGAGGAACAACATAAGAATCATCGGAGTACCAGAAGGACAGGAAGGTAACCCCAATGAAAAAGCCACAGTTAAAGACATCATTGCCAAGAAGATCCCAGAGCTGGAGAATGCAGGCATCCAGATTCAAGGAGCCCAAAGGGTGCCATCTAAAAGAGACCCTAATAAAAAGACTCCAAGACATATCATAGTCAGAATGATGGATGCCATGGATACAGACACAATACTGCAAGGATCAAGGTGAAAGAAGGACATCACATACAAAGGAGCACCCCTTAGATTTACAGCAGACCTATCAGAGGAAACCCTCCAAGCTGAAGACAATGGTGGGATATAGTAAAAAAACTCAATGAAATGAACGCTTCACCAAGAATACTTTATACGGCTAAACTCTCACTCAAACTCAAAGAAACAATACACTATTTCATGGATAAACAACAACTCAGGAACTTCACAGACTCAAAACTGAACTTAAAAGGACTAAAGGGGCTACTCTAAGACCAGAAAAAAACCCTACAAGCACAACAAACTCCTACAGAATGATGGCACAAAATCCCATGACAATAATCTCTCTCAATGTCAATGGTCTAAATGCACCAATTAAGAGACATGAAGTGGCAAAATGGATTCGGAAACTAAACCAAACATTCTGCTGCCTACCAGAAACACATCTGAACAGTCAGAGCAAACACAGACTCAACGTCAAAGGATTGAAAACAACCCTGCAAGTAAACAACTCCTTCAAAAAAGCCGGGGTGGCCATATTAGCATCCAACAACATAGATTTCAGGTTGAAAAAGATTAGAAGGGACAGTGAAGGCCATTTTTTACTAATCAAGGGATATGTTCAACAGGACAAAATCACAATCCTTAATGTATAAGCACCTAATGAAGGACAAGCTAAATACTCAAAACAGCTGCTAACAGCAGTTGTCTATTCATTGCAGCACTGTTTACAATAGCTAGAATCTGGAAAAAATCTGAGTGCCCAAGAATAGATGACTGGTCAAAGAAACTTTGGTACATCTATACAATGGAATACTATGTAGCTGTCAGAAAAGATGAAGACACGAAATTTACATACAAGCAGTACTACATGGAAAATATCATGCTAAGCAAAATGAGTCAGAAAGAGAGGGACAGACATAGAAAGGTCGCATTCATCTGGGGAACATAAAGTAACAAAATAGGAGACCAACACCAAGAATAGCCGAGATAAATACCAACAGGTTTACTCCATGGCTTGGAGGCCAGCTTCACAATCTAGGGATAAAGGCAGCCCAGATATAGAAGGGAGCACCAAATGGGGGGTATTGGGAGGATCCCCCAGGATGGGAGAAGCATGCTGAAAGTAGACTCTAGACTGAACATGATTACCACTCGATGCCTCTTTTGCAGGCCACAGCACCCAATAAGAGAGAGAGAAAACAAAAGGGAATGCCCTGCCACAAGGCAGGGTGGGATGTGGGGGATGAGGGGGGTGGGAGGGATACTGGGATTAGTGGAGGTGGAGAATGGGCACTGGTGGAGGGATGGGCACTCGATCATTGTACAACAGAAACCCAAGCACAAAAATTTGTAAGTCTACAACTGTACCTCATGGTGTTTCACTCATAAAAAAAAATAAATAAATAAATAAAAATGAGCATCTGGGGGCAGAGAGTAGGTAGGTATGGTGCTTGCCTTGTACATGGTTGATCTGGGTCAATCTTTGGTATCTCATATGGTCCCCTAGGCACTGCCAGAAGAGATTCCTAAATACAGAGCCAGGAGTAACCCTGAGCATTGCTGGTGGTGGCTGTCCCCTCTCCTCCCCCCCCCCACCCAAAAAATAAATATGAGAATCTTGGGAGAGATCACCAAAATGGAAAAGCAGGAGACCTCAACTTTCAAGTCTTAGTGAAGTAATCCAGAAGAAGAAAGACAAACACAGGATGAGCTCACTTATCTGTGCAATATAGAATACTGGATGAGGAAATGTATTGAAGTAAAAGAGAGATCCTTAGATCTTCATCGACCCCAGTGTTTATTAGGGACAGGCAGAGAAGGGAAAAAATCAACAGGGAAGAAGAGAACAAGAAGTGATTGGTGAACAGCATCAGGACTTCAGTTATACCAGTGATATGAGTGAGGGCTCTAGCGATATTCCCAAAATACAGACTCAACAGAACTGAAAATATAAGATCTAAGCAGAAAATACTGAAACTGTAATGTGTCTGTCAAGGTGACAGGTTGTGGTAGAGCAGAGTTGGAATGGGGAGGGAATCTGAGAACACTGGTGAAGGGAAGTTGACATTTGTGGAGGGATTGGTATTGAATTATTGTATGCCTAAACTACAACTATAAGTAACTTTATAAATCATGACTCCTTACCCAGCTATAAGGAATGATGAACTCATGCAACTAGCTGCAATGTGAGTGGAACTGGAAGACATCATGTTAAATGAAGTAAACCAGAAAAAGAAGAATAAACATAGGATAATATCACTTACATGTGATATTTAGAATAACTGGATGAGGGAAAGTAATGTCTTAAAGGGGGATGCTCAGATCAACCTTGACCCTAGAGTATAGGGAGGAGAAGGAAAGAAATAGTGGAGGAGAGGGGAGAAGAGATAGATGAGAAGCAATGAGGGCCAGGTCAGAGGATTAAGGCACATAGGTGATGTTAAGGAGAGACAGAGCCAAATATCCAAACCACAGAGTCAACAACACTGAAATCAAGAGACTCAAACTTAAACAACCAAAACTTAGAGGCAGGCAGGTTGGACAGAGGGAGAGGAGATGATTATGGGGGAGGGGGGGAATGTTGGGACCTGGGAACATTGGTGGTGGGAAATTGAAACTGGTGATGGGATCAGTGCTGCAATATATATGTCTAAAATTCAACTATAAATAACTGTAAATCACAGTGATTTAATTAAAAAAATTTTAAAGAGGCAGTTTGTTCCTGACAGATTCAAACATCTGTGATAGAGTGACTAGAAAAGCCTGAAGCAAAGAAACTGACTGGATCCAAAACTCAGAATCTGCCATTATGTACTGCATTTCAGGCAATGAGACACAAGTCAGCTTGGTTAGATACAGAATTTTCATAAGGAATATGGGGAAAAATAAGTTAAAGAATGATGACAAGATATGTCCTATGCACTGTGTTGAATAATAACAGTTAACACTCATATAAGGTTTATTACATCCTAAACAATCAACTAAGGAACTTTCAGTGTTTACTTACTTAATTCCCACAATGTTCCCTCTATGTCATCCCTAAGTTACTGAATACAAAGCTGAGAAAAAGATTAAGGAATTTTCCCAAGATCACATAGGCAGGGTTGGAGCTATATTAACTTAGGGATGACATGAGTAATATATACCTCATGAGAGGGCTTAGGGCCATACCTGGCAGTGCTCAAGAATGACCCTTAAATGATTTTAGGGAGCTTGGGGCCATATATAGTACCAAAATCAAACCAGGGTTGGCCGTATGCATGGCAAGAACCTAACACCCTATTCTATCTTTCTGACCCAAATCTTGGTTTTTTTAAGAAATAGAAGAATTTTACTTGGGCTGAAGTGATAGTACAGTGGGGAGGGCATTTGCCTTGCATGCGGCCCACCCGGGTTTGATCCCCTCAGCACCACCAGGAGTAATTCCTGAGTGCAGAGCTAAGAGTAACTCCTGTGCATTGCTGGATATGACCCGAAAAAGCAAAAAATATCACATAGGCAGGAAGTGGCAGGACTTAGAATCATTATTGTAATCAACTTCTCATTTCCAGATACTTCATTATCACACCAGCTGCTCCTCCTCCTACTTTGCATCATTTTTTTTGTTCATTGTTTTGTACCTGCTTTTGGATTTTTACCTGATAAACCCCTTATTCTACTCAGCAGTCAAACACAATTAGTTTCTCCAAATATATATGACCCAAAATACTTAATTTGTAAATATGCATTTACTTAACATTTATGCCTAATTTTGTCTGAAGTAAAATTAGTCACATCATCCTATAAACACTTGTTTCTTTGAATGTCCTCCTTATCAGATTTTAATGATATTGTGAATTTTGATCTGCATAGGAACCACTTGACTAAAATATAATGTGCCCGTGCCAGGGAGATAGATCAATGACTGAGGAGCATGGTTTGCAAGCAGCAAGCCCAGACTCAATTCCTGGCAACATTGGAAGTGACCTGTGAACTCTGAGCCAGAAATAGCTTCAGGACTTCACCAGGTGAGACCATTTAAAAAAATGCAAGGTGTCTGGGATTGTAGCTGAGATTCTGCATTCGAACAGGTATCTGATGATTTTGATGTTGCTCCCACAGCTATTATATAGCCAGGCCTAAATGGCACAGGGAGCAGCAAGTTCCTGGAGAGCAGAGAAAGTCCAAATTAGCCTTTGAAAGACTCTGATTAGAGCATCCTTCCCCTGCACTCAACAGCTGCTCCAGTAATCACCCCAAATGCTCTTTAAATTGACCTTCTGTAGAGGTTTCAGCAGAACAATGCCACACCCTTCTCCACGTCCATATCCATCAGCTCTTCTAGAAAAGGGTTTGCTCATCCCGTCTGGAGATAACATCTTGGCTTTACTCAACATGACATTAATTGCAGGATCCAGCATGCAGCTCACTCCACCACAGAAAGCTGTTTCACAGTCTCCTGCAACCAGGTAGCAAACAGTAAAGTCGGTCAGAAGAAAAGCATTTGATTTACAGGTGCAGTGTCTTCTAGCATCAACATAAAGCAGGTAAAGCAAGCAAGCAAGCAAGCAATGTAAGATGCGTACTTGCCCACTAGTATGCTAATTCTTAGATTCTTTTATTGGGTTCATTTCACTCTTCTGAGAAGACTCTCCAAGAAGGGTAAGACATCAGATTGATAAGAGTGCCACAATTTAACTTGATTTTTGGAGTCTTGCCTGTGGTATGAGTTTTACTTTTGGGGTTTTTTTCCCATTCCTATGAGGACAGTCAGTGGTCTGGGGAAGTTCTGTGCTTCTCTATTTTTATTTTCTAAATCTTCATGCAGACTTACTGTTTCATTACTGAAGAGCAGAAGGTAGATATATGTATATGAGCTCATCCATTGTTAAAGTCATGGTATTTCTTTGGTTGGGAAGGAGGACCAGACACAGCAGTGCTCAGAGGGCCTTGCAGGTCTGGGATCAAACACAGGGCTCCTATATTCAAAGTACATGCTCCAGTCCTTCTCGTCATCCCCCCATCCCAAAACTATTTCTTAAAATAAATTTGGAGGAGTAGAACTACAGCTCTAGTGGATGAGCACAAGCCTATCATGGGGGAGACCTTGAGTTCGATCCCCAGCACTGCATGGTCCCCTGAGCACTGCCAGGAGTGACTCAGATTGAAAAATGAATTGGAAAGATTCTCTTCCTGAAAACATCCACTTATCTCATAAGTGTTACTGCTTCTCTAAAAACGTGATAAGGGGGCTGGAGCAATAGCACAGCAAATAAGGCATTTTCCTTGCATGCAGCCAATCCAGGTTCGATTCCCAGCATCCCATATGGTCCCCCGAGCACTTCCAGAAGTAATTCCTGAGTGCAGAGCCAGGAGTAACCCCTGTGTATCGCCGAGTGTGACCCAAAGGCAAAAAAAAAAGTGATAAGATTTTGTGATTTTGTGAAATTATCAGTCGGTGCCAGGCATCTTGATTTTTCCCATGTCAACAAACCTATTTACTTATTCTGTCTGAAAAATATCCACTTTTGAAGTCCTCTTCTGTCTACATATTTGTAGTTTAACTTCAGAAAACTGGTGGGTATGGTGCTGCAAACAGGTCAACCTATACCTGTGAGGTGCGTGCATCAGCAGCCTGATTGTCCCTTCAGGCTTCCTGGAACTCCAAAATTGCCACTTGTGCCATTTGCCAGACCCCAGCAACTTGGGACCAAGTTTACCAAAAAATTAAATGGCCAAATGTTAGGTATGTGGAAGCCACTCCACACCACAAACCACTTCTGGCTCAGCTATACAAGCTCGTTTTTGACCTTATTTCAGAGACCCATGGATAAATTTTGAAAAAGCCACAGTTAATCTCAGACCTGAGCATGGCTGAACAAACTGGGATAAATCAGGGGGGGGGGGTTGGCCTGATGGCCCACCGAGGCAGAGACCCCAGCAGCCACTTGCTCCCACAATCCAAAATTGCTGCCATACCCCCAGCCTGACTCCACTGTCTCAGGACAGACCTCACCAAGATATAATATGTTGAAAATTCTGGTTTGAAGGTTTTGTGACTGAAATCTCCAGACTTTTTCAGAGTCCGGATGGGCTCCCCCCCCCCCCACCTCCCTATACTTTCGGAAGCCTTGACAGTCACATCCACAACCCAAAGCTTTCATCCAATTGAAAAGCTACTCCAGCCTTACCATCCCGATAAAAACACTAAATGCCCTGAACAAACACCATGGCCTCTTATCACCTGTATTGAAAACCATTCTGCATAAAAGGAAAAGGAGAGAGAGAGAGGGAGAAAGAGAGAGAGGGGGAGAGAGAGAGAGAGAGAGAGAGAGAGAGAGAGAGAGAGAGAGAGAGAGAGAGAGAGCAAGAAGGAAAGTGCTTCCCATAGAGGGAGACTGGGGATAGGAGGTGGGGGTTTTGGGGAATGGTGGTGGGGAAATAGGGGACATTAGTAGTGGGATATGTGCACTGGTAGAGGGATGGGTGCTGAATCATTTTATGACTGAAACCGAATTATGAAAAGCTTTATAATCTATCTCACAGATATCCAATTAAATTTCTAAAAAAAAGTAATGTGGAGTTCATGCCCAATTCAATCAGCTTAATCAATGGCTGAATAAATAGCAATTCTCCTACAGAAAAAAAACCCCAACAAACTTCAGAATACCTTGTTTAATCGCAAGGAAGGCATAGTAGAGCGCAACAAGAGAAGATGAGCATGCAGTATTGATGGCAAGAGATGGTCCAGTTAGGTCAAACACATAAGAAATCCTGTTCGCAGCTATGCTTATTTCAGATCCAGTGGCAGTATAATGGTTTGTAGTCCTTGGACTTCTAAGTGACATAAATTCATAGTCTTTATTCATAATACCTGCAAGAATTTTTAAAGGTATGTAAGGCACTTGTTGAGAAAGAAAACCATAATGAATACAAACCCTACAATCTTACTATATATATTTTAAGAGATATTAGGGCTAGAGTCATAGTACATAGTGGGGTGATTGCCTTGATGCAGCCAACCAGGGTTTGATCCCCAGCAACCCAAATGGTTCCCTGATCCTTCCAGGAGTAATCTCTGAGTGCAAAGCCAGGAGCAAGCCCAAAGCACTGCCGGTGTGGCCCCCAAACAAACAAACAAACAAAAACAACAAAATTTTTTATCTGTTGTTTCCATTGACTGTGGCTACTGATCAGAATAAAAGAATGCCAGAGGGCTGGGGTGATAGCACAATGGATAGGGCTTTTGCCTTGCACGTGGCTGGCTGACCCAGGTTCGATCCCCAGCATTATGTATGGTGCCCTGAGCACCGCCAGAAGTAATTCCTGCATGCAGAGCCAGGAGTAACCCCTGAGCATCGCCAGGTGTGATGGAAAAAAAAAATGCCAAATCCAGTGGCATGTGCTGTATTTCATAAATTAGCAGCATTTTCATTAAAGTTTTAGCATGGTACTGGAACAAAGGCAGAGCTGTAGACCAATGGAACAGGGTCGAATATCTTTATACACACCCTCAAATATATGATCAACTAATCTTTGGTAAGGGTGTAAGAAATGTGAAGTGGAGCAAGGAAAGCCTCTTTAACAAATGGTGCTGGCAAAACTAATCAGCTACATGCAAAAAATGGGCTCATACCTCTACCTAACAGCATGCATAGAAGTCAGATCAAAATGGATTAAAGACCTCAGACCAGAGTCCATAAAGTACATTGAAGACAAGGTCGGCAAAACCCTCCATGACATTGAAGCTAAAGGTATCTTCAAAGATGACTCGCCACTGACCATGCAAGTGGAAACAGAGATAAACAAATGGAACTATCTTAAATTAAGGAGATTCTGCACCTCAAAAGAAACAGTGACGAGAACACAAAGAATCTACAGAATAAGAAAGGATATTCGCCCAATACCCATCTGATGAAGGGTTGATATCAAGGATATACAAGGCACTGTTTGAACTCTACAAGAAGAAAACATCCAATGCCATCAAAAAATGGGGCGATGAAATGAACAGAAACTTTCTCAAAGAAGAAATCTGAATGGCTAAAAGGCACATGAAAAAATGCTCCACATCATTAATCATCAAGGAGATGCAGATCAAAACCACAATGAGATATCATTTCATACCACAGAGACTGGCCCACATCCAAAAGAACAAAGGCAACCAGTGTTGGTGTGGATGTGGGTAGAAAGGGACTCTCCTCAACTGCTGGTGGGAATGCCAACTGGGCCAGCACAGCCCTTTTGGAAAACAGTATGGACAATTCTCAAAAAATTAGAAATTGATCTCCAGCAATACCACTTCTGGGAATAGACCCCGGAGATGCAAAAAAGTATAGTAGAAATGACATCTGCACTCATATGTTAATTGCAGCACTATTTACAATAGCCCAAATCTGGAAAAAAACTGAGTGCCTGAGAACAGATGACTGGCTAAAAAATCTTTGGTATATCTACATGATGGAATACTATGCAGCTGTTAGAAAAGATGAAGTCATAAAATGTGCATATAAGTGGATTAACATGAAGAGTATCATGCTAAGTGAAATGAGTCTGAAAGAGAAGGACAGACATAGGAAGCCTGCACTCATTTGTGGAACATAAGGTAACAAAATGGGAGACTATCACCCAAAGATTGTAGAGATAAGGAGCAGGAGTATTACTCCACAGCTTGGAATCTGGCCTCTCATGCTGGGGGAGAAGGCAATTCAGATAGAGATGGGACCATCAAGTAAAGAATTCTTGGAGGACCCACATGGAATGAGAGATGTGTACTGAAAGTAGATTATAGACTGATCATGATGGCCACTTAATACCTACATTGCAGACCACAAAACCCTAAAGGAGAGACAGACTAAAAAGGGAATCTGTCTGCCACGGAGGTGGGGGTGGTGGTGGGAGGGATACAGGGAACATTGGTAGTGGAGAATGGGCATGGGTGAAGGGATGGGTACTTGATCATTGTATGACTGAAACATAAGCATGGTAGTTTGTAAGTCTGTAACTGTATCTCATGGTGATTCATTAAAAAATTTAAAAAATAAAAATAAAAATAAATGAAGTTCACAGTTTTAGTGCAGAGAAATAGCATTGATGAACTTATGACAAAATATGTGTCATTTCAAGGAGCTTTGCTTTCTTTTTTTTTTTCATTTTTTTGGCTTTTGGGTCACACTTGGTGGTGCTCAAAACTTACTTCTGTCTCTGTTCTCAGGGATCATTCTTGGAAGAGCCATGTGGGGTACCAGGGGTTGAACCCAAGGAAAGCACCCTACCCGCTGTCCTCTCTCTCCAGCCCTGCAGCTCTGTTCTCTAAATCTGTTACACACACCTCACCATCTGACATTACTTTCTCATAGCTTTTCATGCCTAAAGAATAGATGGTGGTGTTTTTGGTACTATCTTAGAACCATGGGAAATGAAGCTTAGATAAGTTAAAGAAATCAGTTGAAGGCCATTCTGTTACATTAAGAGGTAAGCTGACATTCTCATGAAATACTGTGGATTCAACACACAAAATATATTCTCTCTTGTAAAGATGGGTGTCTTTTCAGACTGCAGTCTTCTCATTCCAGTACTCTCATTGTCCTCTCATTACTTTTCTGGCTGGAAAGCCTCATTCATTCCCAATGGTTTCAGGTACCATGTAGTGCTATTAGCACCTAATCATCCCTCTCCTCTGTCTTGGCAGATTCCAAGACACTTTTCTAAAGCATAGCTGACATTTCTCCACGGATGGTCTGCAGACATTCAAGCCTCAACCCATTCTGACCCACAGGAATCTCAACCAACTTACCCCAAACTGAACTCAATTTCTCACCCCTTAAAAACCTAAACTACCAATGTGTTCTACTATGGTGTGAATGCTTCAGCCAAACCAAACCCAAACCCCTGTCTTTTATCCATTCCTAAAACATCACAACTAGTTATTTACCATGTCTTGTCCATTATTTTGCCCACTTCTCTCAAATCTATAACTCTGATGACTTAGTGGCAGGCATTTTCCTTTTCCAAATCAGTTTCCAACTTGGTATTTCTGCCTCCTTCCTTGTTCTCTCCCTCATTCCCTCAATCCATTGGACTCTGTCTACAATGATATTTGGAAAATGGAGATCCAGTTATATGTCCTGATCATGCTTTTCTGCTACTTTCACAAACTTTTTTTTGTCTCCTCATTTCCCTCCAGCTAAGCCTGACTCCCTATTAGGTCAACCATCAGCCCCTTGCCATCAACCATTCAGACATGTTTACTCAAGAACACATGAGCACAAAAGTGCTCAACATGGGCTAATTTACCTTCTCACCTTGGAGGTAAAAAAAAAAAACCCTGTTCTGACACTAATCCCTATTTCTGCATGCACTTCCTTCTATTCTCTCCTATGTCTTGGGTAATTTCTTTGTATCTTTAGGCTTCATCTAACATTCTAACTTTTGACTCTTGGTTTTGGTCCTTGTTTCTCTCTCACCAATGAAGACTCCAGTCCTGGAGCCAGACAGCTCCTCAGCAGGGATCCCGGCACTCTCCAGAGCTCTGTAGGTACATTCCAGCAGCAACTTCTGTTGAGGGTCCAGCCGCTCAGCCTCCGAGTCACTGATCCCAAAGAGTTTATTGTCAAATTCATTCAACCTACAGTGAATAAAAGGGTATTAAGTGGCCCCTAGAGAATAAGTGCCTATATAAGCAAATGGCTTTGTGTTCTGTAAAACACTTGCCAGATTTCTGATAACAGTTTCATCACCTTTGACCATAGCCTCTGTTGCTTTTTCATTTAAAACAAGAGTTAAATACATCACAAAACAGGGGATGACTTCTTATCCTATTTCTGATATCAGATATTACCTAAGTGTAATTACTCCAAAATATCACACTAAGAACAACTTTTATATGCAATCATATATTTATATGTTTTCAGTGTTTGAAGTGAACATACTTTGCTTTCTAAGAAAATAAAGACTGAAAAACAAGGAGTTGCAAGTTGAGAAAGAATAAAATCAAGAGAAATTATTTCAAATTTGGACAAAAAAATAAACAACTGGTAAAGAAACAAAAGTTAGGGGGACCTAGAGGTTAATCACTGAAAATTCTGTTAATAACATAGCACTGTCCTGCACTGCCCTCCCGTTGTTCATCGATTTGCTCGAGTGGACACCAGTAACATCTCCATTGTGAGACTTGTTGTTACTGTTTTTGGCATATCGAAGACACCACAGGGAGCTTATCAGGCTCTGCCGTGCGGTCAGGATACTCTCAGTAGCTTGCCCAGCTCTCCAAGAGGGATGGAGGAATCGAACCCAGGTCAGCCACATGCAAGGCAAACACCCTACCCATTATGCTATTGCTCCAGCCCCATTAATAACATATTAGAGAAAAAAATGCTAGCATATAATTTTTAATGCCAACAATAATCTTACCCTTCAATGAAAGCAGCTCTTCTTGTTTGGCTTTTTCCTGGTTGGCCTTCATCTGCATCATACCATTCTTCAATATTAAACCTTTCTGGTAAAACCTCAACTGTGCAGTTTTTGCCTTCCACAAGAACTTGCCAGAAATTGTCAATTCCTTCCCCTAGTAAAAAAGTTGCAGCAAAAAAAAAAATTATTCACTCAGGTTTTTAAATAAATATATAAAAGTCAAAACTTTTTCAAAGGGCCTTAGGATATAGCTCAACGCAAGGAAGGAAGGAAGGAAGGAAGGAATAAAAGAAGGCAGGCAGGCAGGCAGTGATCACACATGTGCTCACAAGTGGTCTCACTTCCTAGCCACAGCACACGCATCTTTCTAGCTGTGCTTATCAGGTATGCATACACACCCCTAATAGTGGTGCAGCCAGCTCTGAGTATAATACAGAGCATAGTTGCCAGGCTCAAATAAAAGAGCGGACAGGATCGTTCTTGGCACATGTGGAATGAGAAATTTAATCATGACGCTATAGTTTCAAGGAAGTTTTCAGGGGACCAGAGCAATAGTATAGCAGGTAGAGCTATTGTCTTACATGCAGCCAATCCAGATTTGATCCCTGGCACCATATATGATTACCCACTGCCTGCCCCACAGCCCATCAGAAGTGATCTCTGAGTATAGAGCCAGAAGAGCCAGAAGTAAGCTCTGAGCATCACAGTTTTGACCCAAAAATCAAGTATGTTTTCTAAGCCACTATATTATCCTTCCAGGTGCTGATACCTTCCCTTAAGGCAAAAACATAAAAGGTATCTGTGAGGATTCCATTTCAAAGGATTTAATTCAGACTGTAGTTCTGGCCCCTAGGGTAAGCTCACAAGTGTGAGCTCCTTCTTCTTTAATGACAAATGGCAAAACTTACTGAAAACAAACACTAGCTTCATTATTTGGACATTATAGGTCATGATTTGTAGCTGTTGTTTCACCATTATCACTCTTACCTCCTGGAAAATTGCATCCTATTCCCACAATTGCAACATCATCATCTTTTTTCATTGTCTTATTAATTTGGCAACTGAAAAAAATTAAAGATCAAGGAAATAAAGAGAAATAAAAATGTTAAAGTTAAATACTCCACAGAAGGGCCATGGAGGTCGTTCAAAGGCCTACAGCACATAGGTGTGCATGTAAGAGTCCCAGGTTTAACTTTTCATAGCACATGGTCCCACACACATGTGAAATACAATGGAGAAGGAAAATGAACTGGCAACAACAAAACAACTTTTAACTCAGTAAAAATTGTTGGGGTGTATGAGTCACCATCATGCAGTGATGCTGGTCCCTGGCGTGTTGGGGACAGATAGATGTTCTCTGGCTTATAGTGAAAGAATGGGTTTCAGACAGATTTCCAGGCAATAATCAACAACTTTTATTCCCAATGAAACACACACATGGTTCCTGTGCACCACTAGGTGTTACCCAAAAATAAAAGCAAAAAAAAAATTAATTTTTTAATTAATTAAGTCCTAAGTACCACTGGGTCTGACCCGAGTGGTCCCTAAGCAGCGACTGAGTAAGTCCTGGTGGTACAGGTACCACATTTCTGGAGCAGTCCCACATCCTCAGGCCCTTATATCGAACCACGGTTTGGGTGGCCAAAAATCACCCGGAGGAGCCCTCAGGCATTCTGAGCATGGCTTGGAAGCCCCCTCCCGCTAAATGGTATCAGTTCAAGTGACAGGACATGAGGAGCTATGAATCAAAAAACAGGCACACAATTCTTCATAAGAGAACAGTAAGATTCTTATTTTATTGATTTGGGACTCATACCCAACGGTGCTCAGAGACCATATCGAATACCAAAGATGGAGCCCAGGTCGGCCATGTGCAAGGCAAGCACCCTATCTGCTTCACTATCACTCTGACATCAGATTTTTATTATTTTTATAGCATATCCACAGAGGAATCAGATACAGGTAAAACACAGGAGCAATAGGACAGTGGGCAGGGTGCTTGTCTTGTACATGCCTAATCCAGGTTCCTTCCCCGGAACCCATATGGTCCTCCCAGCCCACCAGGAGTGATCTGTCATCAATGAGCACAGAGCCAGGATTAAGCCCTGAGCACCACTGGGTATGGCCCCCAAACCAAGGTCAAATGTGAATTCTTCAAATCAAATAGAATAACACATTTTTATAGCAATCCCCAAGTATAGAAATAATAGATGTTCTTGCATGTGATGGTAGGTAAACTGAGAGTGAAAAACAAAAGCCACAGAAATGCTTCCATTCAGTCTTTGATTGAGATTCACTCTGGAGACTCAGCAATACGTTCTCATGAGGCAGAGGGAGCACCATGACCAACCTGGGCCTTCAGGACAAAGGAGCAGGCCCTTGCCTGCACATTCTGTTGCTCTCCCACCAGTTCCATGTTGTGGAACTAGATGTTTTGGTCTCATTGAGAGGAGTTCCCTTCCCCACAATATATTGCTCAGCATAAGACTTTGCAAACCTGTCTTTACCAGTCTACATATTGTTGGGATAAACCAACAATATTGCAAGACTGGGGGAGCAGTCCACACCCAGATGTACTCATGGCATACTTCTTGCTCTAAACACAGACTCTAACACAGAAATTACTTCTGGCAGATTACTTAGGGAACTGTATGGGGTGCTGTGGACCAAACCTGGATCAGTGGTGTGCAAGGCAAGTACCCTAACTCCTGTACTATCTCTCTGGCGCCTTCAATAATCATTTTATTAATTATCATTTTCCTACTTTCTTATTATTACTGCAAACTTTCTGAGCATTAAATCTGGAACCTTGCTAAAGTCAGATTTTAAATGTCAGGTTTATAGAAATTTTTGTGCTCCTATTCTGAATTACTATACCCTGACCTTGTTGAAGGAAAAGAAAACTTTCTACCTAAGTATTAAAAGTTCATCTGACCAGAGAGCTAGTACAATGAGCAGGGGATTTGCCTTTCACATGGTCAACTCAGGCTCAAGCGACGGGACCACATGTGGTCCCCTGATTAACACCACAAGTGATCCGTTAGCAAAAAGTCAGGGGTAATCCTTGAGCACTGCAAATTGTAGCTTAAAAACAACAACAAAAAATTCCGTTCTTTGCACCAAATGTCTCAGGTATCCTGGGGATCACTGCATTATAGAAGTAGGCAGTCCAGCAAGACAGTTGAAAATAAAGCAAGCATCCTTAAAGAGGGATAAATAATTGATACCTGCTTCTCAGAGGTCCAGATTCATTCAACAAATATAGGAGTGTTGGGCTTTAAGGATTTCAACAAATAACACAGCCCTCTCAGTTCCAAATCCACTTAGAAATGAACCAGGACATCAGCTATAGATCCAAAGTTATTCCCTGGTGAAGCTGGTTTAAAGACTATAGCTTGACTCCACCCCAAAAATTCTTTTTCTAATGCTTTTTTGTAGTTTTAACTTTGAAACCCAAATTTACAGAGGTTGCTATGGAGAATAAACACTTACCTAGCTGATGCTTGGGGATCTCTCAGTTGCTTTACACTGAGCAGTCAGAGAGAGAGAGAGAGAGAGAGAGAGAGAGAGAGAGAGAGAGAGAGAGAGAGAGAGAATGCACTAGAGTTCTCATTGGTTATTAATATACTAACCTCAGCACTAAACACTGGGAAAATTTGGACCAATGGTTGGGCAACTATTACCTTCCATCAAGTGAGTCACTCCTCCATCCTCATTTCTGAAATGACCTAGGGAGATCAGGTGACAAGTCGATAGTATTTCTACTCATGCTTGAGAGAAAACAGTTCTTATGTACAAATAGGTAGAAATGGGATGTGAAAGGAAGTTTCTCTCATCATGGACTTACTTGAATTCATCCAATATGTACTAATGGTTGCTGCCAGAATAATTAACTTTTGGGAAGTTTATTCCCCTCACAAATTGCCTTGGAGTTTTCCTCTCTCACTCACTGGATATTTTTCTAAATTGTTTTTTAGAAACAATTTAGAAAAATAAATACTCAGCCACACCCAGTAGTGCTCAGGTTTCAGTCCTTGCTTTGTGCTCAGGAATTAGTCTGGAGGTTGTCAGTTTCAATATAATCCAGGAAAAAAGACACTGTGAAGTGTGTAGTGCTGAAACATTGTTTGCCTGAAACTATCATCAACAATATTTTAAATCATGGGGCTTAAATTAGGAAAACAAGCATATTAAATACATTGACTGAGGAATGAGAAAAATAAGTTGGAAAGGGGCTAGAAAAAAATCATCTTGAATTAGCAGTGTAGAAGCAATCCACCTATTTCCAACAGTTGGAGATAAGGGGATTGGAATTGGGGACAGAGCACAGAGCACAGAGACTAGAGTGAGTGGGGATGAATAATTGGTGAGGAGATAGAGGGGAGATGGGCTGAAGGTTAAACTTAATCCAGAGACCCAAGTTCAATACCTGGCTCCACGTGGTACCTCTACCAGTGGGGGGAAGGGTATCCAGTGGCCTCAGGCACCACTGGTTGAAGCAACATGGAGCCTTCAGTTCCGTACAGCTGGGCCAAGTATACAGGGAGTAGTCTCTGAGCTCTGCTTGGAAGTCAGTTTGTTGTAAAAAGAAGAGATTTCTCAAAGATTCAGCAATTAATTGCCCATCACTCTTGTGAAAAAGAGTTAATATCCAAGACACATCTAAAGTACTTATAAATCTTAGTAAAAAAAAAAAGATTAACACCATGAGAAAATGGGGAAAAGAGATGAGCAGATATTTCCTCAACGAAGATACATAGATAAGCCAAAAGTAGCACTGTAGCACTGTCCTCCATTGTTCATTGATTTGCTCAGCGGGCACCAGTAACGTCTCCATTGTGAGACTTGTTACTATTTTTGGCATATCGAATACACCTTGGGGAGCTTGCCAGGCTCTGCCGTGCAGGTGGGGATACTCTCGGTAGCTTGCTGGGCTCTCTGAGAGGTGGAGGAATCGAACCTGGGTCGGCCGCCACATGCAAGGCAAATGCCCTACCCACTGTGCTATTGCTCCAGCCCAACCCAAAAGTATATAAAAAAGTTGCTCTTCATAAGTTATCATCAGGAAATGTAAATCAGAGTTGTATGGAAAGACTTAGTTGCCTAGTGTCTGCCCAGATCTGTGGGAAAGGACGAAGTGCTCAGGCTGAAGAAGCGTTGACTTACAAAATGGTAGAGGATGAATTGGTACTATTTGATAAAAGCATAAATGAACTTGGGAATGAATTTGAAAGTACTGCTAGTGACACTACTGTCAGATGGTGGGACCAAGAGACTCTGACAAGGATTCCATCAAAGCACTTACAGAAAAATTCAGTGCAACATTAAAGGAAGAAGAACAAATGGCTGACACTTTTCTGGAGTATCAAAATCTTATGTGGAAAACTGCACCACAAGAGTTTTTTTTAATAAATATTACACATCTTTATGAAATGCCTCAGAAAGCAAAGCATGTAGTGTGAATGCATAATATATATATATATATAACATATAACAAACATTTAAAAAAACAAGAAACTGCAAATGAAAACAATAGATATCATTTCATACCAGTGAGATGGTACACATCAAAAAGAACAAAAATAATCAGTATTGGCAGGTATGTGGAAAAAAGGAAACCTCAGCCACTACTGGTCAGGATTTGACTGGTTCAATATTTTTGGAAAACAATATATACATTCTTCAAAAAACTAATAACTGAACTTCCATATGACCCAACAATTCCATTTCTGGGCTTCTACTTCAATGACCCCAAAACTATTCAGAGTCTGTACTCCTGCATTCATTGTGGTACACACTAATAGGGAAAGGAACAGCTTAATCATCACTGTTTACTAGTGGTACCAGGGAAAGTTCAACTTTTTTTTTAAGTACAACACTTTTATTGGAAAATTGAAAAAATATTTGCCCAAGATGTATTTTCTCCAATACAATATTCAAACTCATACAATAAATAATGCATTTTGCAATTACCCTTAGGGTTAAGTATAACCTCAATGACAGTAAAGTTAATCCAGGACATTCTCTTCTAGAAATTAGATT